TCTCGCTTATGGAGTGGATGGCAAGAACCAGTCAAATAAAATGTGACCAGAATGTGGGCAACTAGAAATCCCTGCTTAACACAACATGCACTTTCTTATGACAAAATTATTTAATCCTTAGTCGCTTCCATAAATTGAAGGCATTTTCAATTAAAAATTCTTGCAGCACATACGTGGGTGCAACTTGCAACAATATGCCGGAGCCGGAAATTGCAAACGCTGGAAAATGTTACATAAGGAAATCGAGCGTGGTTTACACATCAATAACTTCCATTTACAACCAATACATACCAACAAACTATATAGTCCCATAATATAATATGTAAGCGTGTGTGGCATTGCCGGCAAGATGTTGCATAGTTTATGCGGTTTACTGCATGAATATTCAATATTTAACATAATAGGGACACATACAGTCACACAACAACGGCACACACAGTATCGCAGTGACATAGGCCAGCGTGGTCACTAACCAAAACATAAGCAAAATTTAAATGGAGTTTCGAGACACAATAAAAGCCATTTAACAAAAGCTCTGTTAGCAACTAAATTAAAAGCGAAATGTAATCAAACCGGTAACCGCTGGAGGTATAAAAATATTTCACTCATTTTGTTCCTGCATTCGAATCCTCGTAATTGACTCTGGCACTCTGGAGGCCATTTATAGCTCACTATTTCATTCCTAAGTTATTATCTGCATGCCTCAAGTGGTGGCAATTTGATTATTTAAAACTCCCGCAGAATTTACACTCGACACCCACGCCCAAACACACACACACACACGCGCATTCATATGTAATGTCACAGGCGCTCTGCCTCGAAAAGCTCATCATGGCAGGAAACACATGAAGCCCACCCGTATGGTGACAGTAGAAATTTGCCTAACAAATTCAATTTGCAACGAAACCATAGTGGTGTCGCGTATGGAATTTCCGCGCACACACACCAGGGTTGCCAAACGGCGGCTCATAAATATTCATTGACGCGCATTGCCGCAAAAAAATCGCGATGAAGTGAAGGAAAGCCAATATAGGACGCTTCAGCGCGAACTTTAATATCTGCCTCGGGCGCAGGTGAAAGCACGCAACAGATGTTCATGGGATTTAAATTCCGTGTGGATGCCAAAAATGGTCGTCATAAAATACGAATATTTGCTTATATCATGAACGGTGTAGGTCAGTGTACGGAAGAATTTCCCATAAACCAGGAGAAACGACGTCATAGATCCAAATATATATTTATGATTGCAGAATCAGTCGATTTTGTAGTTAAAGCAAAATTTTGTGATTGAAGCTGTTGAAGGTTCAGCTCAAATGCTTAGCTCCAAATTGCCACCCTATATTTCGTTGTTATATAATAGAGGTGCATATTTCCATACCACAGATGGAAAACTTACGCAATCATGACGTAAAATAGTTCTCATATCATATAGTTCTCTCAGATTTCGATTTATATCATATAATCGAAAAACGTATAAAAGCATAAATTTTAATTATTATCACTAGAGCTGTAGTAACACTAGCCTATGTCTTATCAAAGACATTTTAACAGTCAATATTTATTAGTTATTACACAATCTAAAGAAGTATCTTGGATCATCTGATAATAATACAAAAGATTACGCTCTAGACCGATCAGGGATATTCAAATCATTTCAATAAAAATTTTCTTAAATCATCTAACCGTGTTCAAATTTATACTTTTCTACTCACTATGACGAGTTACTCTCTCTGACCACAAGATTAAATCTCAAAAAATTTGCTAAGCTGTGAAGTTCAAGAAAGTGCCGAGTCTATGCCTCTATGTCTCATAACAGGGTATTGACACTGGTTGTTATTCGACAACACTGGATTATACCAGTCTATTAAATATATATTAGTTGTTTGTTCGATTTGTCATTTTTCAAAACTTTGTGAATCCAAGAGAAGACTACTTTCTAAGCTTTGATTTTCCATAAAGCAGTTTTTTCGGGGAAGTGTTTGCTGACTAAATAAGGATGTTAAAATCTTACCAAAAATACCAAAAAATATCGAATATCAAAGAATTTGCTTTAAATGTACGACAACTGCCCACATGAGATCCTTGCGATGTATCTATTCTCGAAAAATAAGCTACTACAGCTCTGTGTACAACTTTGTATTGTCAAGCATGATTCCATAGAGTGTTTATAGGTAGATATATATACTATGCTTCCACCTATTCTCATTGAGGTTCACAACGATACAGGGTGCTAATAAGGTTTATTGATTCACATTTTGCAACATAACAAAACGACGCCATCAACAGGGTATACTAAGCTTGCTTCGGAGTGTGTAAAGCACTGAAAGACGCGTCGTAGAGCTTCGAAAGTATACATATACCACATACGTAAATGATCATCGAAAAGAGCTGAATCGATTTAGAAGTGTCAGTCTGTTTATATGTATGTGTATGCGAACTAATCCCTCACTTGAGATATCAATAAATTTTTTGGGAAACAACGTAGTGCTAACGTTTTTGAAACAATACTTTCCAACTACCAGAATATCATGAAGCGTACTATTACTGACGGTGAGTTTTAGACCCGGAATCAGACAATCAATCGTGGCAAATGAGAGCCGAAGCCGAAAGAACTATGTACGCCAAAGCAGGTCAAAAGTCAAGGTTATGTTGACAGTTTTCTTAGATTATCGAGGTGTGGTGCACTTCGAATTCCTTCCGATCGGCCAAATTGTTAAAAAGGAATACTATTTGAGCATTATGCGTTATTTGGGCGAAGCTCTTCGTAAAAAGAGATCGGAGTTATGGGCCAGCAATTATAAACCACTCTCGCATACTGCATTGATTCTTCGTAAGTGTTTCACCAAAGATTCAACCAATATGGTGTCGCAACAACTGTGTTCCGCCGATTTAGCTTTGTGGGTCTTCTGACTATTCAGGAAACTTACACGATCGCTCTGGTTAAACCGTTTTGAGTAAAATAAGGACATTAAACCTGAGTCGCCACAAACATTGCAAGCTATTCCAGGAATTGATTTTAACCCCTGTTTCGAGGATTGGCAATTTTGTGCAGAGCGACCTCTTCACGTTACATCTTGCGAACATATTATTCAGTTCGGATCGCTATATCACATATAATTTTATTAAAAAATATTTTTATACCCGCTTATACCAAAAGAAATACACCTGTGAAGTAAATTATAGCTTCAATGCAGCTAAAGTTTACTCTTTATCCGTTTTTCATAAACTTTAACATTCTTAGATTTGTGTACATTGCTGTTAAACAACATTTCAACAACAACTGCAGCACACTGTTGGCGAAAACAGCAATTGTTACTGTTAAAACTACACAATAAAAGCTATGCTAACGCCAGCAGCGTCGTCGGTGTTGAAAACTCTGTACACATAACGGTGGTAGTTTTTGTCTTATTGGACAACGACACTGCTGACGCCAACGTAACGTCAGTTATGCGCTGCGCTATGCTCACCAACGCTCAAATCGGTGAATTAGTTTCAGTTTTGGTTGACTGCTCGTGGTGTTCGGACGTGTTTCGGAAAAGTACAGTGCAACGGCGTGCTCTGTGAACTCAACACAGCAACACACTCCGCAAAAGGGAGTATTTAATAGTGAGGGTGCAACCCTAAAAAGGGGAGGAAGTGCGGCGAAGTGAAGCAAAACAAAATACGAACACATATACGTAAGAGTATATGTAATATATATGTACATATACTATATGTATGTAAGTGTGTGTGAATAGCTTACATGTAGCAGCAATAATAATGAAAGCGGTTAGTGCAAGAAAATAAACACATACACACTTAAGTGCTAAAAGTCGACTGCAATCAGTGTATGTGCAACAAAATATAACAACAACAACAACTGTCAAACGACGTTAGTATGGCAAAGTGGCAAGTTGGCCTTTTCGTCTTACCGGTTTTTTGACATCAGCTAGCAAGCAAGCAAACCACTACACACACACACTCGCAGTTGCCTATGTGTTTACGTGTTTGTGCATATGTTTGTGTGCGTATAAGTCGTAGCACCGCTTGTTTGGCAAATATTTGTGTGTGAATTGTGCGTCTAAACGCGTTTGCGGCGCCGACAGCGCTGCCAGCAGCAGACGCTAACGCTATTATCGCCGACTTTGCGGTCGCCGTTTGCTATTGAGCTGAGCATTTTCGAATTATTTCGTTGCGAGACGTTCGCTGTGACCACACAGACACACATACACGGGGATATTTGTGCTATGTGTGTGTTTGTGTCGGCGTGCTGGTGAATGTAACTTCGATTTCAAGTTGGCTTTTTGATCTTTGTGGGCCGACTTCGAGTGTGTCAGGCTGTCGGAGTGTATTTTTGTGTTTGGTTTTTAAATTATTTTCTACTCGTAAAAATATGTGCGGCGTGTGAGAATTGAAGAAAATTCAAAACTCCAAATATATTACTATACGAACACATACAAATTCGTAGATATGTGTGCTTAGTAGCATTACAAGAGTAAAAAAGTCAAAACAAACCAATAAGAAGTAGCCAAAAAGTGAGAAAATGAAATATTATACAATAAAAAATAAAATATTAAATGACAGCTCAAACAGTTAAGTTTGGCTTCGCATACAGTTGTGCAATTCATGAGATTATCTGCGAGTGCTTGTGCTGACCATTTGGCGTGGAGATATACATAAATACTTATATGTATATCCATATATATGTGTACTACTGTGCAGCTGAATATACACACAAATTTGAAAAAAAAAGTATGTAAGGTTTATATAATATATAATAAAAAAAATATTTCAAACTAATTGTATGTGATTAATATAATGTAATTACATACATATGCATATACATATAGCAGATGTTGTGAATTTCGCTTTAAGCCGAAAGTGGAAGTTATAAAAAATATTTTGAAACAATTTTTATTCAGTAAACAAAAATGTTTTCGAAATTGTATCGCTCTTAATACAACTAAATAACTAAAAAAAAATCATTACAATTAAAATACGAATTTTTGGTGAAACTTGCCTATTACTTTTGTGTGTGTTTGTGAGCGCTGCAATGCGCTTGGCAACAACTGCACTTTGACACACATCTTTCAACTGCAAACGTCACGAAATTCAAATCATAGTAAGTTGTAAACACTTGAGCGTAAAAAAGTGGCACAATACTATTATAAGCTGCCAATATACCGTTATTTTCATATATATGCTTAAGTAGAGAAATGAAAAAATATTTCGCTGTAAATATAGTGATAGCCAATAGTTCAAAAGATCAGCTTTATTTCTTATCTCTATATAAGACACTAATTATGTGTAGTTTCTGGAAAGAACTTGAGTTTAAATATATATATATGCCAATAGAAGAAACAGGTTAGTTCAGAGAGAAAGAAAAAAAAAAAAAACGTTAACAGTGGGCTTACAGAAGCTATAACAGCCTTCTGCATGAAAGAATAAAAAACATATTTGATTTTGTTCAGGCAGTTTGTCTGGCAGCTATATGCTAAAGTAGTCCGATCTGACGGATTATTCGGATATTATACCCTTGGCTTAAACAATAATACATGCCAAATTTTGTTAAGATACCTTCCCAAATAAAAGAATTTTTCATACAAAGACTGCATTTTGATTGATCCGCTTATATGACAGCTATATGCTAAGGAAGTCTGATATGAACAATTTATTCGCAGATTATACGGTTGTCTTAATTAATAATTTTTGCCAAATTTCTTTAAGATTTCTTCTCAATGAAAAGTTTTCCATATAAGTACATGATTTAGGTAATTAGTTTGGATGGCAACTATATCCTCAGAAGTTCAATATTAGCTACTTCGTTAAGTGAGCTTCCTAGGAAGAAAAGTACATGTGCAAAATGTCAGATTGATAGCTCAAAAGCTCAGTGACTGTAAACTAGTGTACTTGATATTTACATTTTGAAGCATCTGCGACTTTGCCTGCTGGGTGTTCTAAACTTCGTGGCAAATTTAATATACTTGGGTGTGAAAAGAGAGAAGGAATGGTTGGACAAGTTTACCAGTTTAAGTAACATAGTATTAATGACGGCTGTGCTATAAAATTGCCAAGTAATTGATTAAAATATTTTTTCTTGAGTTTTTCGTAAAATTTTTAAGCGGAATTTCTCTTAATAAAGAAAAAGGCATCTAGACGTAAGGAAGATTGTAATATCATATACCTAATCGAAAAAAAAAATGAATTACAACTATAGATGCATTCAGATAGGACTAGTGAATGTTTGGATTTTTGACAATTCCCGAAAAAATCTATTTTTTTGTAATTTCCCTTTCAGAGTGGTCTAAAAAAACGAAATTACTATGAAAAAACTTCTATTATTTATTATGTATAACTGATTTTCCGAAAGGACTGACATACGAATTAGAGTGAGATGGCATGCCTTAAAGACATGCGGCATCACCAACTTCATGTGCAAGAGTCACGAAGCAAAAATGTATACATTTTTATTAAATATTAAATACGTTAAAAGTTCGCTAAGCTCCCATTATTTTATAGTAATAATATATATGTATTATATATGTTAGGAAGGCCTATTTTGAGATTACACAATCGTTAAAGATCACTAAAAGCACAGTTTTCAACCTTTAGTATTTTAAAATCCAAAAGACGACAGGAAACCATCGCCATAGATGACGAGTGAATTCTCACGACAGTCGGGTCTATGTTATTAGAACGAACACGGATTTTTTATCCGGTCAAGGTCAGCCGCTACAACAACGAGCGATTCGTACGCGAATCGAAAAAAAATGAATAAAGCAAACAAAAATTGCGTGCGTATTTTTTGGAGAGGTGATAGTCCACAATCGGTTAAAACTGTCAAAAGACGTTTATGAGAAAAAAACTCTTCGACTGATAAAATACGACTTGCATTCGATAAGAAATAGCGTCGATGGACTTTAAATTAGTGAAAAAGAGTCCTACTTTCGGATGAAATAGAAATAAATAGACCGTAATCAGCTGGAAAAACTTTCGTACGGTCTCCGCGATGTAAGGAGCTTGACTCCAAATTCATAGCTATCACGCCGAAGCACAGCGGTGGTTATAAAATGATATGCGATGTTATGACATGGAAGGGTGTTGGGCTTATAACGAATAATGAGAGTTATATGAATCAGCATCAGTATATTTCTATACTGAGAGATTTAGTGCTTCAATATTCCGACGCCAATATGCCTCTTAATTAGCTGTTTCAGCGAGAATACGACCCCAAACATATCAAGCGGACTGAGAGGTTGTGGATTAGTGAAATTATTCAACAAAGAAGTTCCTTAAATTTTGCGTGCGGAATCAAATTTCTGGTGTCGAAACGTTCAGAGTGTTGGAAAAGACCTTCGGTGATAATTGCGTGGTTTCGGTGGATATAAATTATGCAAAATGTTTAGAACGCTTTGACGATGAACCATGTCCAGCACAGATGTCAACATCAACTGATGATCAACGCGTCATTAAATTAAAGTAATTGGTGCTTGAGAACTTGGATCTACACTTACGACATTGAAACAGAGGATTAAACAGTCGCATGTCGTGGCAAAGGTGAGCGGAAGTCGAAAAATCACGTCAAAGAAGGTCAAAAATTAAAACTATTTTGACAGTTTAGTTCAATTAAGGATCCACAAGAGTTTTATGCGTCGCTTGCGCGAAGCTATTCGTAAAAAGAGACCGAAAATCGTCAGTTTAACTTCAATACGGAATTTATAGGTTTAAGGGGGACTGTTTAAATCTCAAATTACGCATTGAAGACGATGAACTTTTCAATCGAAACCTCTCTCTTCCTCTATTCTTAAATAATGAAGGAGAATAAATCTCTCTACCTGTTAATATTGAAAATTGTATACTGAGGAAACTTCCTTACTTCAGATCTGTTAGTAAAATTGTTTCATACACAGTTTTGTACATAGATAAGGGAGTATGGTTTTGTTCATATTAGATTTTATTATTTACATATATAAATATGTATATAAGTACCAGCTCTTCAAACTACAAGTTAAAGCTAACTTCTGAAATTAATTTTGCAGTTTAATACCCTTTAATGCAGTAAAGAAGAAAATTTTGACTTGTCATTACTCAGATGCAAGAAGTGGTAAAACAAATTACAAATATTTCTACATGTGTATGTGTGTGTGCGCAAATATTCATTACTTTCACAAATAAATTATCAAAGCTTAACGAATCAAAGGCACGATGTAATAGAAATGCCACTTAAATACATACATACATACGTAGACATAACTACATACACATATAATCAGTTTTACCAATTCTATTCCAGCGAATTTCAACTATTTATACGTAATTATTTATAAGCAGTTAGCAGCTCTTTGCGCACGTTTTGTTATTATATTTAAATGTGTTCGTATGCAAATAGATATGTGCGTATCCATGCCGCCTACGTCGCTATGTGACTTGAATTGTTGATTGTGCGTTTTCATATTTATTCAGTTAAGGTAGGAAATTCCATTTTACACTATTTACAGAGCAGATTGCACGCATGCTTACTCCCACACACAGTCACACACACCCCCACTTGCGCAAACACCTGTAAGCATTAAGTATATGCCTTGCGTATCCACGCTCCCACAGAATTGTGAACAATTATCGCACTTAAAAATTAATCATAGTGAATTTAGTTTATTTTGAAACTGTCGGATTGGATTGGATTGGTTGTTTTCTTTGAAAGGGTTAATACATTAGGACTCATGCTCGCTTGTATGTATATGTGTAGCTTTTCAATAAAGTGAAATGATATACTACGTGCAGCAGATTTCATTGTTGTTTTAACCCTAACAACCTTTCTACAAGCTGTTATTTTAAATTTGTATGCGGCTGCAACAACAACAGTCACCGAGAAGTGCACGAACATTGAGTGACCCTTTGAATTTGTTTGATTTCACTAAGGTCCCTAATGAAACTTCAGGCAACGTGACCTCCTCTATTTATCGTGAATGAATAGTCTGACGACCTGAGTCGATTTATCCCAATGTCTATCTTCTTCTATCTTTCTCTGTGTCTTTATAACCGCGAGCTGTATCGATATCGAATCAACTAGTAACAAACTGAACATTCAACATCGCATTCTTGTTTGGGAAGCCTTTTATTGGGTTGTCGAAAAAGTCTTCTCGTATTTTGTCAATAGTTGTCGTTGCAGTGGTATATCTTTCGTGCTATCAGTGACATTGTGTGATAACATAAAGTGTTGGAAAGCTGAGGATTTAAGCTTCTACAAAAGGAACCACATGAATTGTCTGTGAAAAATTTAATTGGCCGAATTAACATATGCGATTCTTTTCTAAAACGAAATGAAAGCGAACCATTTCTAAAGCAAATGGTAACAGAAGACGAAAAATGGATAAAATGCGACAATAATGTGCGAAAAAGATCATGGTCCAAGCGTGGTGAAGTTCAACAAATAGTCGCAAAGCCAAAATTAACGGAAAGGTTATGCTGAGTGTTTGGTGGAATTGGAAAGGAATCATCTGCTATTAGCTACCCCAGCCTGGTCGAACGATTGATTCCACATTTTACTGTCAACAACTAATAAGATTGAGGTAAGCTATCGAAAAAACGGTCAGAACTGATCAACAGAAAGTGCTTCGTCTTTCATTAGGACAACGCTTGATGAATTAGCAAAAAGTGGGAGAGCTTGGCTGGGAAGTTTTGATGTATCCACCATGTAGCCCTGACCTTGTACCATCGAACTACCATCTGCTTCAGTCAATGCAGATCTCCCTTAATGGAGTGAAGTTAACTTCAAGAGAAACCTGTGTAAATTATAGGCAGTTTTTCACCTAGAAAGCAGAAAAGTGCTACACTGAAGAAATAATGTCTATAGCGCAAAAATGGCAAAAAAGTGGTCAACCAAAATGATACAAAAATTTGGTGCATTAAAGTTCATTATAAGAATAACAAAATATAATTTGAAGTTTGATTAGAAATCGAAAATACTTTTTTGACTATCCAATATTTGATAAGGTATCTTCAAAAAAGTGGCATATAGCCATAATTATACAAACTGACCTCTCAAAATCAAGTTCTTGTATGGAAACTTATTGCTTGTGAAGGGTATTTTAGCTACGGTGCAACCGAAGTTACAGTTTTTTC